GTAGAGGTGCAGTATATTATGTGAGAGCCATAATAGATCTTAAGCTTTTTTTAATATGTTTGTGTGATTGTAAAACTATTTTTTACATGTTGAATGTCATAAAAGCATGCATTATTCTTAACTTTAAGAGTAAAAAGAACCATCTCACAAAGGTTCTTTATAGTGGAAAAGTTTTTTTCAGATTATTAAATAGTTCTTCACTCTAAGAAAAAGTAATTATTTTTAAAACTGTTCCATGAAGGGTTCTTTGGGAACCCACAATGGTTCTTTGATGGCATCTCTGTGAGAAAAAAAATGGGAACATTTATTTTTAAGAGTGTGTAAATTTTACAATGGATGAACACATACTGTAGCCTCTACATCAGTGGCACCTCTTAAGTTAATATTATTCACGAGAAGCTTGGTCATTACCCTTTGGCCTATGAAAATTGAGTGCTGAACAGTCCTGTTGGTCTAGATCTCACATAGGCTACTTGCTCGAAATGTGGACCTATACGCTGTAAGTGAACAATGCAAAATTGCTGAATTCTGTTCAGTCACATCAAATGTAAACTTGCATTTATACTGTTGCTTTGATGATTATAAGCGAACAGGAACATTATAGAATGTGTGATGTAACTCGATTTCTTTATATAATCTATTCAGAATTTGAGAAACAGTTTTGTTTTTCATGATTTTACCAGTTTATTGTGAAGTTGACCTTTTAGGCACTTGATTTACTGATGTATAAAACAGTTTTCAAGTTGTATTGGATAGACTATTAAGTAATTGAAATTAATAACTGTGATTACAATATCATGGGGAATAATCATTAATTATTATTATTATTATTTTTTTTATTGTGCAGCACCATACTCACCTTCAAATATCACACACACATTTTGCTCCCAACAGCTGTATAAGGCAGCATCACCCTATCCAACAGCAGGGAGTAAAGCTCGTTCTGCATGGTGACTTACGCTTCATTTGTTTTGCCCCAGGGGAGCGGGCGACTGGGTGTGAGGTTTTCAAGGAGAAGGGTATCGTCTCTCCACCAGTCAGTATCGGTAACATCACCGTATGACTGAGTACTGTCCCCACATCACAACCACTCTTGTCAGTCACTTCTGGCCTTTCAACCAGTGGTTCTGCAGTTGCTGTGTGTCAAAACTCAGTGCTCAGCGTTCCAGAAATAACCATCGCTTCCGGGGAGATGATGGGGTCGCCAAGCTCTCCCCTTCTCCTAGTTCCCTCTCTCCGTGTCTCATGCACTCACACTGTTTATGGCTCTCCTGTCTTCCGTTACACATACACTTACACCCAAAATGGCCAAAAATGTCTATTTCTTCATGTTCTCTGGAGGGATCCCTATATAGATGACCTTGGATTTACATCCCTAGTGGGAGGAGAAAGGAAGGAATGACGTGAAAGCATTACAAGAAAGGGGATGAGAAGAGAGAATGGATTAATAGAGAGAAAGAGAAGAAAGAGAGAGCAGGGAGGTGGAATTAATGTGGAGGAAAGCAAAAGCTTGGTCACTGGTGACTCACTGGTTGACTGTTACGTATGTATTCATATCCTATTCACACCATAGTGTACTGCTATGCTCTTTATGAGCAGTGAGTCACACAGAGATGAGGATTCCTCAAGCTTCCTGGAATATAATGGCTTCCATATTCTGACTTACTACAGAGTGTGTGTGAAGAAGTGTGGGGAAAACATTGTAAATGGAGAGATGAAAGGAATTAAATGTAAAAAAAGACATGCACATCATCTAAACAACAACAATAATAATATATTTGTCATCGTCATCAGGTCATGGGCCTGACACTTGGGCCACAAGCATCTTCCAACGTGTTCGATCTGTGGCCACCTAATATTTGTAGTTATGCAATGTATTATTCCTATATATATTCAATATTAATAAATGATTGTATATATATATATATATATATATATATATATATATTTATATCACATATACTCACACAACATGCAATATTATATAATATTGTTATATGATTCAGATGTTTATATATGTTAAATGGATTATAAATTGTTTTTGAATATACTTCAAATTAAACACAATACAGTACTAATACATTACCAATTAATCTTCTACAATACAATTTATATATATATATATATATATTAATATGTAATATTGTTAAATGCTTCACGTTTAGAGAAGATCATGGCTTCTTTTTTTGGAAGAAAATTAGTTTTTAATCACCTTTCTCTATTGAACCACTTTTTTTTCAACCTGCCTTCCACATCACCTTGTTCATCACCTCCAACTACAATCTTTCCTGCTGTTATTTTTGTTCTTCTCTTAAACTTCCGCCTCTCCTCCATGTCTTCCTCTATGGTTTCCCTCACAGCCTTCCACTCCTTCCCTCAGTTGTTCTCTGTCTTTCCTTCTGATGTCATATGTGCACCTTTGTGCTCTCTATCCCCTTCTCTCTCTCTCTCTCTCTCTCTCTCTCTCTCTCTCTCTCTCTCTCTCTCTCTCTCTCTCTCTCTCTCTCTCTCTCTCTCTCTCTCTCTCTCTCTCTCTCTCTCTCTCTCTCTCTCTCCTCTCTCTCACACACACATTTGTATACTTTCTGCCTCCCTCTCTCTATCTCTGCAGAGCTAAGCTGACAGGGAAACTTCAGTGCTGCAAGTGCTCGGAGTCTCTTCTTGAATTATTCACGTACTGGGACCCCCCCGAGTGCTTATCTCACCCCTCCCTCCCCCTTACCCCACCCTCTCTCCTTCCTTCTCGGACTCCTGCCATTTGCTGCTGGCATGCTTTCTCTAACTTTTGTGATTTTGACACACTGACTGACTTCAGCTGTTGTGAAGAATGCTTTTCTGAATGCAATGTGAAGGAATAATGATAGGGAATTCTGTGGTCTCCGTCAGCTATTAGGAAATGAAAAACAAAATAGATATTTTCTTTGGGAAAAGAGGTGACAATGAAAGAAATTCACACACCCATAAACACAATATATAATGCTCAGTTAGAGCTATATGAAGCTTGAAATAGCAATGAGGTTGAAAGAAAGTAAAGCCTGATAGCTTTCAGAGCAGATGAGTGTACATTTATAATTATTATGTATGTATTATGGATAATTAAATGCTTTCCTCAAAACCGACTTCATACAATGCATTACACTATCAGACAAAAGAATACACTAAAAAAGGCTGCATTCATCTTGTTAAAAAAGGCACTAAAAAGGTAGTAATATTTTGAAAAATTATTACATATCAAATAACTATTTTATATTGTAATGTATTTTAAAATGTAATTTATTCATGTGATGGCCTGTGATGAATGTCCATCATCATTATGTTACATGATCCTTCAGAAATCATTATTTTACAATCATACTTTGCTGATTTTGCTGCTCAAGAAAGCACCTGATTTCTGATTATTATCAGTAGATAACAGTTGTGCTGCTTTATATTTTTGTGGACAGTGCAAGGCCTACTTATTTCAAGATTATTTGATGAATAGAAAATTCAAATAGATTTGTTAACAATATAAAATTCTTTAATGTCAATTTTGATCAATTTAATGTTTCTTTGCTAAATAAAAGTATTCATTTCTTTAAAAAACTTACTAAAGCATACACTTATGGCTTTAGCGCAGTAGATATGTTGCGTGGTCCTGATCTATTGCATTTTTCCAGGAACCTTTGTGTGTGAATGTGAAAGAGACAAAGAGATTTAACAAATTCAGCATTATCTGCTTTATTTTAGGCTTTGCACAGTCTTACATTGTACAAAGGCAAAATCTTCAGAGAATGTGTTTTTCCCTCTCTCTCATTTCTCTCATCTAGGTTAAAGCAAAAGTTCATCCAAAAATGAAAATTCTGTCATCGTTTACTCAACCTTGTGTTGTTCCAAACCTGTATGAATTTCTTTCTTCTGCTGAACACAAAAGAAGATATTTAGAAAGAATGTCAGTAACCAAACAATTGACGGCACCCATTGCCTTCCATAGCTGTACATGTTTTTTCCAACTATGGAAGTCAATGGGTGATGTCAACAGTCTGGTTACCAACATTCTTTAAAATATCTTCTTTTGTTTTCAGCAGAAACTCATACAGGTTTGGAACAACTTGAGGGTGAGTAAGTAATGACAACATTTTTGGGTTAACTACCCCTTTAAAACAATAATTAAAATCAAATTTAGCATCCTTAAAGATTCAAATGGAACATGTTACCTTTAAACAAAAAGACACATATTTAAACGTAACTTCCCATCACCAAGAGAGCAATGTCACATTCGGTACACCATGAATCCAAGCATGACTGCGCGGTCAGTAAATCCGCTCAACATCCCACTATTCCCAAACGCAAACCAATCAATAATAGTTTTATCACTGACAGACAAGAACATTGGCCAATCAACGGCAATGACTCATTTATCTGATGAACGAGCCAGCTTCAATTTGCTGTATTGATCCGAGCTAACGATCTAACCTCAGCTATCCAGGAACTGCCAATGTGGGGTGAAATGTTTTTCTCAGAGGATACAATAAAATGAGGATTCAACAATTAATTCTAAACTTAATCTATACTAGGGATCCTAAAAATATTAACTCTGCCAATTCTGGCCACTTAAATGCACAGTCGTTCTTGTAGGGATTCAAATTTGTGTCTCATCACCAGGGAAAGTGACAAAATTGGCATCAATTGCATGAGTGATTTGGAGTTTGGAGCAGCTGCCAGCAGGGGGAGTTTAGGAGTAAGTTACCCCTTCAGGCACATAGTTAGATCAGTAGCATAATTGGAAGTGAACTTATGAGGCTACAGTCCCAGGATACTGAAACAAGGGATGAGGAAATAGCAAAACAAAAGTCAACAACAGATACACATTACTGTGGCGTTTAAACCACAGGTTTTGTGAAACATATTTCCTCCCTTGGTCTCTCTGGAGGGTTAGGGGCCTGGTTTCAAAGGGGGTGAAAACTCAAATATGAAAAGTCCCAATTACTCATTTCCATTCGCACATATACATACAGTACATACAGTAAGAAAAAGAGTTAAACTGTAATTTGCTGGCATGCGATTGGCAGGCACCACGGTATTACATTCATGTCTTTGCACCAGAGAACGCTGTGTATATGTATACGTTTAGCATGTGTGTGTGTGTGTGTTCAGTGTGTGCGTGGTACGGGGTGTTGTAGGGTCATGTGTTCTGCCCCGGTGAAAGGTAGGCGCTGGGTACAGTAGTGGTGCACCACTTCTGGGATGCTTGGGAACACACAGCTGCTCTTTTCCAGCGTGTAGCCGCATTCTTTAGTCTGCGCTACGATGATGTGCACACATCCTTGACTCGTCCTGTAGAGAGAGGGAAATAAGGATCTTATATCATCTACATCAGCTTTTCAGGACTGCCAACTCATTTCTTGTTCTCTTGATATCAAACATACACCAGCAGCACGCACTTACTTAAGGGCGATGGAGTACTTGCTAGTAGCCGATTCGCTGTCTCGCACCAGGAAGCTGGCCTCCCTACAGTGCTGCAGCTGAGCCTCCGCCTCCTGACGACTCACACTGCCATGATACCAGCTGGAGAGAGAGAGAGAGAGAGAGAGAGAGAGAGAGAGAGAGAGAGAGAGAGAGAGAGAGAGAGAGAGAAGGAAGGAAAGGGGAGGAGATTCTTATTTACATTGCATGATTATGTAATATGAACAGTACTTTGAAAACAGATTAGATAAAGTTTGGGGATTGAGAAAGATGGACAGACAACTGTGCAAATGGATAGATCTGCCACACAATTTTTGTCCATACAATTAAAGTCAATGGGGTCCAATTTTGTTGTGATTCCCACTGACTTTCACGGAATGGACAAAAATATATTTCGGAATATTTCACAGAAAAAGAAAGTCATACATGTTTGAAACGGCATGAGGGTGAATATATGATTTTTCACTTTTGGATATGGGAGGCTGTGCTTTTTTATATATTATAAATAAACAACAATAAAAAAAGCAATAATAAAACAATAAAAAATTAAATTATAAAAAATTATAAAATAAATAAATTAGAGTAAATATTAATAAACTTGTATACGTATTGATATTTATGTTTAATTAAAAATAGTTTTTTTATTATGTGCAGACATTATTTTATTATTTCATTACAACATAAATTTAATAAATAGTCAAATGTACATAAAATATTAAAAATATAATACTACATGGAAAAAAAACATTAAAAGGATAGTTCACACAAAAATGAAAATTCTGTCATCATGTATGCACTCTTATGTTAAACCTGTATGAATTTCGTTCTTCTGATCACAAAAGAAGATATTTTAAAGAATGTTGGTAAACAGTTGATGGTATTTTATTTCCACAGTCAATGGCTACCATCAACTGTTTACCAACATTCTTTAAAATATCTTCTTTTGTGTTCAGCAAAAGAAAGTAACTCATACAGTTTTGGAACAACATAAGAGTGCACAGAATTTTCAGTGTTGACATTATTTTTGAAGATTATTCTCTGACATGCAAACTAATATTAATTTGGCCTCTATTATAATTGCCAATATACACAGTAGCTAGGTGATCAGGTGTTTCAGGTCATAACTGTTAATATATTGCATATTTTAGCACATACATTTCCACTACTATTTTAATCTCACCATTTCATTCTTAAGTTTTTAAGTTTCAGGTAATCTGCTTAAAATAACACATTCACACATTAGCAGTAGTGTCTAAATCATGTTTTTCATACACAAACACACACCTCTGTTTCTCCAAAGGCAGGGTGGGATCAACTATTGGTGTCTCACTGTCTGGGATAATGCTGGGAGACGATGGGGAAGTCGGGGAGGGGGGATTCGGTCGAAGAGATTTGGGGGTCCAGCTCTTATGTCTCAGGGTCTGCTGTTTTACAGTAGGAGAACCTGATTCTTCCTTCGACACGCGCTCCACTCCATCGAACTGAGCTGTACACAGAATGAAACATATCAATTGCCACATATTTTATGATGGCACCTGGCAAAAATGACCTCCCCTGTTATCCCAAATGTTTGGAACAACTGCTGCATCATAAGCAGTGTTGCGCAAGTTACTTTTAAAAAGTAATTAGTTACAGTTACTAGTTACTACTTCCAAAAAGTAACTAAATTAGTTACTCAGTTACAAATTTTAAAAGTAACTAGTTACTTAAGAAAGTAACTATTGCGTTACTTTCAAGTAAAATTAAATTTTAAATGCTCAAATGTGACCCCACCTCTACCCCTCTTTAACGGAACTTACAATACATGTGCATTTTCAATTATTTATGATAAATCTGAATATTATAATGAAATGGACACTTAATACAATACATTATTAACAGAAACATGAAACATTGTACACACATCTAAAAAAAAAAATGTTGCTGTGGGACAAAGTGAGACTAGCCTCCAATCAAATGCCATGTAGATATTATGTTTATATAGTGGATCAATGCAAATAACACAATAGATGTTTTGGAACTTTTGATATTTATTGCCCCTCAACAGGCCACAACTGGGCAAAATTAAATTAAGCTTGTTAAGCTCGTCGCGATACCTGTCTCTCGTTGACTGACTGGCTTGCTTGTGTTGTTCATTGTGTGTCCTGTCCTGTCCGACTATGCGTTATGATGGGTCGTTCGCAATTCATGAGCGTTAGCCGTTAGTGATGATGGATCGACTCGTTCGCGAATGAGCTTTTGATGGGTCGTTCGCGATTCGCGAATGAGGCGACTCTAAGAGCCGGCTCTTTTAGGTGAACGTCGGGAGCTGGCTCGCATATCTGAAGAGCCGACTCTATTTTTTACAAATTTAGCCTATAGAAATTAAATAATTATGTAAAAAAAAATATATATATTATAGTCAAAGTCATTTAAAGAGCCGTTTGTGAGCCAAAAGAGCCGGCTCTTTTCAGTGAGCTGAGTCAAAAGTGCCGAATGCCTATAGGCCTACTATGCGTGCTTTCGAACACCCGCCCAACTCTACCTCTGATTGAATTACAATGACATTTTACTCTACCTCAGTCGTCAGCATTTATGCGCTTATTGGCTCGTGCTCTGTCCACTAACCAAGGAAGAACAGTAAAAAAAAGTAGGCCTATTTGCCTCTCGCTCAGAGATCTAGTTGGTCTGATGAAAAAAAAAACCCAGCTTCATCAGTTATACGTAGTAACGCGCCGCATTTTTTGGCGGGAACGGCGTTATTAAGATGAGAAGAGTAATCAATTAGATTACTCGTTACTGGAAAAAGTAATGCCGTTAGTCGTTATTCCCATCACTGATCATAAGCACCCTAATATCATTACAACTAAATTACTTTTAAATAGTTTTTTTCTCATCACTGTGTTTATGCAATGGCAATGCTAAATAAAGAAGATGCTAGTAATATGAAAGTGAGGGATGGTACCTGACAGTGCTCTAACAATCTGCTCCTTCTTCCACTCCCAGGGCAGCTCATACTCCGCCAGTGGTCTGGAGTCGGACTCAGGTCGGGTCAAGGGAATTCCCTCCAGAACCTCTTCATATGGTACATCATAAATCTGTGGGGGTCCAGACCCCTCACTCTCTCCTCCATTCAACACTACACACACTTTCAGCAGGTCCTTCGAGCCTCGCCGGCGAATCTCTAGATAAGGGCACACATTTGTAATTCACAATTATTTCCACAAAATAAATTATTGGATAAGAACAGTATTTAGAAAGTTATTTATAGTACATTGCCCAATTAAACTAGCTATTTTTAGGCTATAATTACGGTACAGTCACATTAATGCTTCCAGCTTACACAGAAGTCACCTTCAAACCAAGCAGTTTCCTGCTGGTAAACATGGCAAATTTGAGCATTCTGTGTGGGCAAAACGTATGGGTTCCCAACAAAATGACTAGATTTCGCCCACAAGCATTCGCAGAACAACAGTAAATGTAACCGTGCCTTTAGTCTCAAACTTATCAAGCTTCCACATATTCTTATATTTACAAACTGTTGAAATTAATATAGCAGATACTGTTATGGAATTTGCATCTGTGTGCAGGTGACCACTGTACGGTGGCCGAGAGAGCTCAACGCGCTGCAACTGAAGAAAACACATGCAAATACAAAAAAACACATGCAAATAAAATAAAACGCATGCAAATAGAAAAAAACGCGTGCAAATAAAAAAAAACACCCGCAAATTAAGAAAACATCTTCATCAGTTTCACAACACACGTGTGCTCCAAATACTCACAACACCACCAAATACAAACGCGCTGCAAAAGCTCACAACACAAATACAGAAAACGCGCTGCAAATAACACAGAGCACAACGGAAATGTTTCCAGAGGAACCAAATAAGTGACGAACCCGGCTGGGACGTGCGTGCTGGCAGTGGCATAGATATCCATAAATCTATGCGTGCTGGTGCTTACAGCTTAAAATTATACTTTATTTATTTATTTTTGCAAAACATACAGAGATTAAATTTTTTTTATGACATACAACTTGTATACAATGTACAAAATGTATTAACAATGTGTTCAATGTCATCAGAATACAAATGAGAAAAGAATGAGCTGGAAACTAAAATAAATAAATAAAAAAGATAAAGAAGAAAATCATGAAGGAAAGATATTTATCTATACATCTTTTACAGTGTACAAATTGTTTCATGTTATTACATTTTCATAAAGAAAAGTTTCGTAAGAAATGTTAGGTAATGTAGGGTCCAAAATTTTAAAGTTGAGACACACAGATATAACGCATATTTTAAAAGCTTTTTTGTAAACTAAAAATAAAAATGTATTTGCATCCGTTATGTTGACAGCATTATATTTCTGTGGTAAGAACAGCTCTTCAGCTGATGGACGCTGTGCTGCGTTGTCATGGGAACATCCCAGGTGAAAATAATAAGGAAATTAATTTCAATTTCAATTTTATTAATGGATAGCCCCTTGAGATGCAACATCTCATTTTCAAGAGTGTCCATACATATAGACATAAAACTATATGTATGGACGCATAGATTTATGGATATCTATTCCAGCACGTCCCCTGAGCACGTCCCAGCCGGGTTCGTCACTTATTTGGTTCCTCTGGAAACATTTCCGTTGTGCTCTGTGTTATTTGCAGCGCGTTTTCTGTATTTGTGTTGTGAGCTTTTGCAGCACGTTTGTATTTGGTGGTGTTGTGAGTATTTGGAGCACACGTGTGTTGTGAAACTGATGAAGATGTTTTCTTAATTTGCGGGTGTTTTTTTTTATTTGCACGCGTTTTTTTTTCTATTTGCATGCGTTTTATTTTATTTGCATGTGTTTTTTTGTATTTGCATGTGTTTTTTTGTATTTGCATGTGTTTTCTTCAGTTGCAGCTCTCTCGGCCACCGTACCACTGCCCACTTTCTCCATATGTATTATTGAGAAAGTGGTAAGGGATGGCCTTATTTGTCCCCAGAAATCAATATACTGTATGTGTAACGGAGTTTAAATTAATGTTTATAAATTCATGCTTTAAATGGGCAAACTCGACATTGGCTGTTGCGTCACTTGCATTTGTGTGCGTGACATTGTGGGCGGAGTTACGTCACCAGCAGAGTTTCACATCTCTCCTGCTGGTAAGTCGCATCAAAAAGTGCTGCGTCATTAAAAACAGAGTTTATGTTTTATATTGCAAGTATGGACTTTAATACTGCACACAAGTTTACTTCATGTATCTGTCAGTCCCTAGCTCTGTCAGTTGAGTCAAATGTGTTATTTGCGATGGTGAAATGTGATGACTGTGTATGTTAGTCTGCTTGTGAACTCCCGATTCTCTGTTGATTCCATTTAAGATCTGAGCAACATTGATGCGTGAATGCACTGCCCACTAACCAGTTTTTGGTTGTTTGTCTCAGGTATGTTTTTATATTCGAATTTGTCATGTTCTGTGTATAAATGTATTAGCTGAATTGTTAGCATTAACACACGTGCTGTGTGCTCACACGTGCTGTGTGCTCACACGTGCTGTGTGCTCGCACGTGCTGAACTGAGTAACGACGCCATTTTAGGTGGCTGTTCTTTTCTTTCTGTATTCCATTTTATACCAAAAATATGAAAATGATGGTTGCTCAAAGTTATTATCTTTCTGCAATTGTAAATTGATGAGAAATGAGAACAGAGACAGTGAGTTGTACTTTATTTCTTTAATGTATGTCTTATTTTTAGTTTAATTCCACTATACGATCACTATGTAAAATGTTAAGAGCAGAGTTTCACATCTCTCCTGCTGATCTGAGCAACATTGATGCGTGAATGCACTGCCCACTAACCAGTTTTTGGTTGTTTGTCTCAGTTCTGTCTGTCTCAGGCCAGTAAAGTGAATTCATGAGTGACCATCCACCTGCTTCCAGTGTGATTCCATCCGCACAAACACACACAGTCACATTGGTGCCGTGACCCGTTGTTTCTTCAATCAAGATGGCTCCTGAAGCGGCCGAGGGTTCATCTTAGAGCTTGCGCTAGAGTCAGGTGGACACAATTTTGCTCAGGAACGTTTTTTTTCGTAAAGAAAAGAAAAAAAAGAGACTTTTTTATCTTTATTTTTTTTTAGTGACTGCACTTAAGCAATTTGCAACATTTGCTAAGGACAATTTGCTATACAGTGAACAGCGAATTCTGAGTTTTTGATTTATTGTATTAATTTTTTTTACAAGTAGGCTACTGTTATTCATCATGAGTGGTTTTGATAACTGTCACACTCCAGTCTGTGGTAGTAAAGGTAGAGGATGGGGTTTATTGAAAGTTCCAAGGTCTTTACAGTTCAGTGGGCCTGATGTACAGAGTGATGCTCATGTAATCATAGACAGTCACACTTCCAGTTCAGATCCATTAGTTTTTGAGGGCCCATCCACAAGTTATGAATCTGATGCTTCAAGACAGCAACAGTTTTCGTCTACTCCATACCCTAATGCACAGCCGCCAAATGTAGTCACTGCAATGACTGACATAATCAGCCAGGTTGGTCAGCAAATTGCTGATAGCATAGTCAACAGACTAAGCCCAACACATAAAGTTGACTCGCATTCAGTTGATGATTCCACCAGAAATGTAACTGCAGATGGTGCAGCTTCACAAATGATGGACCTGATGCGAAGCCAGTTGTCCTTTTCCAAAAATGTGAGAGAACCTCCTAGCTTCAGGGGAGAAGTTTCTGATGCTGTTGACTTAAATGAGTGGATAGATATCATGAGAGACTATATTAAACGCAATAACTTGAGAAAAGAGCATCAAGCGGAGGAGATTATGGTCCATCTAAGAGGCAAAGCAAGAGATGTGGTCAAGTTTGGCATAAGAAACTGTGACATTGACATTGTGCATAACCCTGATGCAATCTTTAGTATTCTCAGGAAACACTTCGAAGCTGCTCCTTGCTCTCCTCTCCCACTGGCTGACTTTTATACCACCTTACCCAGACCAGATGAGGATGCCTTCGAGTACTGGATTAGGCTAAACCGTGCAGTTGACATCGCTGCTGAGCGCTTGAAGGAACAGGGTAAAGTACTGGATTGTCCAGGAACAGAGGTAACCCGCATGTTCATCAGACACTGTCCGTGTAAAGAGCTTGCCATCACCTTTCGATCTAAAACAATTGGCGCATGGTCTGTGCGAGAAGTTCAAGATATTTTGAATGAATATCACTCTGATTCCAGCCTTGTATCTGCAGTAAGAAATGCAGCACCCACTAAAATTCCTGTGAACAGAACTGAGGTGGAACTGTCATCTGCAGCACTTCCAGCTTCTTCTGATGTCCAGCAGTCCAGGTCTCTGGAAGTGTCTGCATTGGAGCGAGTCATGAGCTTGTTGGAGAAAGTCCTGTTAAAAGAGTCTGTCAGCAAAGAGCCAAGTTCACGTGTGAAGCCCAAAGTAAGCCTGCCTCGAGTAAAAGGCCTCAATGACCTGCCATGCACTGTCTGTTCGAGCCCTGATCATTCTGGCCTCACGCATTGTCTTGAGAAAAAGTTGTGTTTCCAGTGTCACTCTCCTGACCACTCCCGCTTTGTCTGTCCTGAGAGAGTGAAGTCTCCGTCTTCTCAAGGGCTGGGAAACTAGAAGATCTGCACTTAAGGGAGGACCGTGTAGATCGTGAGTTTATTCCTCCAAACCATTGTTGTATGAATGACCCAACCTCAGTTTATAGTCTTTCTAGTTCTGTTGAGCCTTCAGGGAAAACTGTAATATTTCAGAACACTCACAGAGTACAGCGAATTGATAGTCTGTTTTACACACCATCGACACTATGGGATGACCTTCAACTGAAAGCTATGGTTGACAGTGGCTCCATGGCATGCACGATGAGTGAAGCTGCTGAACGTCTCTTGTTGCAGCACAAGCCAAATTTACAAAAGTTCCCTGCCAGTGATGTTGTCATAATTGGGTGTGGCGGACAGCGTGTTACCCCAAAATTGATGTATGAACTTGAGCTTTCAGTTTATGCCTGCAAGATGGTAGTCCCAGTTTTAGTAGTTCCAGGCCAAACTGACGATTTGATTCTGGGCAGCAATGCTATCAAGTGGCTGATTCAGAAAATGAAAGAGACAGACGGATACTGGAGACTTGTGTCCGGGCCAGTTAACTCTGATGACGTTGAATGTCACCAATTCCTCTCTCTACTTT